AAGAAGTGTTACAGATGGACAGACAGTGAGGGGGGTGGAAAACTGGCTGAAGGGCCAGGCATGGAGAGTGGTGATCAGTACCACAAAGCCTAGCAGGCTGCTGACTCTCCAAGGTAGGGAAAAGCCGAGAGGCCAGATTTCCAGACTGTTAAGCCTAGAAAAGAGAAGGCTCTCTGTATATTATTATATGCATGTAATACTTAGATAAAGTTCTGGGGTTTCAGTCCTTAAGGTTTGTAATTGGAGCTTGTGCATTTCTGTTTTCCTGATTTAAGCAAAGTAGCACAGCTTGTCAGTAAGCAAGTTGTGTGCTGCAAACAAAACTTCTGCTCATATGGTAATACTTCAGCAGTGCACACCCCTGCCTTAGACAGACAATTGTTGACTTTGTTTTATGGGGAAAAAAAAAAGTTAATTTCCTTTATTTAAAAAAAAAAAAAAGCCTGCTTGCAATCAAATACAGGTTTTTATGCCTTCTTCCACAACAGTGAACTTCTGTATAGATCTTCGATAAGGATGATGTGTAATATCTGTTGCTTGGCTGAAAAAGATGTAGTGTTTACTGTAGGAGAAATCTTCCAGGGTGTGGTCATAATGGCATGTAAGACAGGAAGGCACTGCCTGGATCATGCTGTTCTCTCCTTTGAACATAAAGACTAATCGTTGCTGTCAGTATGACTTCTAAAATAAAGCCTCAAGGGTTTTGCTTCTTTCAAAGAATTGTGGACTGATAGAAATAGCATCCAATTCAGAAATTGTGATAGTAATGATCAAATGTTTGAATTTCTTCTTTTATTCTTTTATTTTCTTAGTATGTTTCCATTAAATTGGAAGTACTCTGTTATATAAAAGTTAGTAATATATTCTGCATAAAGTTTTAATATCAATACTACCATATCACAGTTTTGGAGGAAAGTTGCAATATTCCAAAAGAGTTTTCATATATTTTTAATGGTTATTGCAATCTTTCATCCTCTAGTCTCCACCAGGAAGAAGAGAAATAAACCTTACAGTGTGGCTGGATTTTTCCACTTCTATCATTTCAGTTTGGAAGAAAGTAGTGGTGATGTCTCTCAGTTCATATGCAACATTCATTAACATATATTCCCCATTCATACTAGTAAGGTTTTCATTTTAAAGTCTGATTGAGACACCCTTGGCTTGGTTCAGAACCAAAGTGGCCATGAAGTGCTGTTTGAAGAAATGCAGTAGTTAAAGTTTTATTATTAAAACAAAATACTTGAAAATACTGATTAAAGTTGTTGATATTAATCTCTGCATATATTTACATTTTGGGGAGGAAAAAAGTTGAGCAAATGTCATTCTCATGTATTTGTTTGGCAAACAAATATGGAATTAAGGCAAGAGGGTATTTTTGTTTGTTTGCTTTTTTCCTCCCTGCTTTTGGGGTTTTGTACTTCTTTCCCCACTGACTTCCATGAGTGTCCTGGTTTGCCTCAGCAATCTTTTGGTGTTTTTCTGGTTCACTGAAAATGCTACAGAGTTTATCATTTTGACACTGAGAATCCTGAGTTGCACAGTAGACTAAGCCTTAATTTTCTCTTAATATCATGATAGCAGTTTTAAATGTAAAAAGATGAAAGATACTACGTAAAGTATTTCCAGAGTGATCTCCATTGCCCCATGAAGTGCTTAATCCCTTAACTCATGGAGCTAATTGAAAGCTAAGTAAATCTCACAAAAATACAGTGTTTTTTTGTTGTTGTTGTTGTTGTTTTTGTTTTAATGTTTTTCATGTCCCACTAGTTTGCTTCAACAGGACAAAATAAGCCATTTTCTAACTGGCCTCCCTAAAGTCTCACTGAAGAATGTGTGCAAATTGTGTTGTGCTCACTTCTTTCATTTGCTGTTCACAGTATAACTTTAGTGTATATAAATGAGTAATCATTTGCCACTTGTCTGTGCTATAGTGTGTTTGGAGACTGACAAAGCTGCTGCTTCATTTAATGAGGGCACTTGAGCTTCTGTCCCTGAAGCAAGAGGGCTTCAAAAAGCAGCTTTGTAGAAGAGCCATAAGGAGCTCAAAGCTGACCCTTCAAACCAGGAGTAGGAACTGTTTAAACCATCTGACAATTAACTGCAGGTGCTTCCAGTCTGGAGAGTTTCTTCCCTCTGCTGGCTGAATGGCTTCAGCTCCTCTCACCCCTGACTTCGAACTGTTCATTCAGATTAACCTCCCCACCCCTCCACCAATGTCTCTTAATGCTGCAACTTTTACCTTATTCCGTATTCTTCCCAATCACAGCACTGCAAAGTTCAGAAATAATAGTTTTGGCTATATTCTTTCTTCCTACTTCTAGCCTGCTTAAAATGTGACTATTTTCGTAGCACAGTTTATGTACAGTGTCTAGCAACACTTCAGCTAACTCTCAGTCTTAGTGTAGTTATTAGCATATAAACATGGACTTGGTATAGAAATTACTCATAATATTGAAAATCTAAGCAACAGGTTAATCTTTAATCTTTCTGGAGTGTTCTGTCTTCGCACCTCATTCTATTTTCCTACGTCTCCTTCTTTTCCAACAGAAAGACCTACCTCTCATTTTATACTGTAACAGAGTACTGCTATATATAGTTAAATAAAGTGGTACTCCTGCTCTTTGAAAGGGCTGGAGATTTTACTTGATGATTTGGATCAGATCAGTTTATGGTAGGTGGAATTTTGTTACACTCTGCCCCTTTTCGAGTTGTCAAAAGTCTGGACTCTGCATTGCAGTGAATAGGGGAGGAGGAGGGGAGGCTGGGGATGGTGATCCAGGCCAGTAAAGATTTGAACTGCCTTTGCGTATATTCAGGCCTGTCCATTGCATTATGTCAGCATAGAGAAATTGGGTTCATAGGTCAGATGCTTCAGCTGAATGCAAGAAGTTGAATGCATCTAAGTGGTAAAATTTTGCAAGTCCCCTTTCTAGTTACTGCTCATCATTACCCTTCTCTTTCCATCTCTTTCTGCAGTTTTTGTGGTACCTTCACTAGGCAAAGAAAGATGCCCCATATGTAATCAACAGCTATGCATATAACAATTGTCTGCTAACTATTTTAAAAAGGCAAAACAGTATTGAATATTTTTTTAATTAAAAAAAAAAAAAAAGCACACTGCTTTTCAATCTGTCAGGTTAATGGCAATAATCTGATACTGTCTCTACCATGCCTTCCTCCTTACACCTCATTTTTTTGAGCTTTTTTTCTATATTTCAAACTATCCTTATATGACTGAGATTGAAAACAAGTTAAAAAGTTCTTAAGTAGAGGTACTGGCAGATGATGTAATCTTGGGAAACCAGAATAAAAAAAACATCAGCTTGCTTTCAACCCTGGTGACAAATGCCAGTATTGCTTTTCTTCCTTAATTCCCTTGAAGAAATCCAAGCTGATATTGCTGAAACATGGTGTTTTTTCTCCTTAATAGTGAAAACTAAGGATGTAATGCAGAGAATTCCAGGTTAAAGGGCTCAGCTGTTCAGTTATAAGCAATGAAAATATGATTTCAAAGGGAAATGGGTAAACAGTGTTAATTACATTTCATCATTAGAATTCATGACCAAATCAGAGACTTGATGCTATCTTGCTTTTGTTGTTGTTGTGTTGTTTTTTTCTATATAGTCCTCCAACACAATGTACTTTTTGTTTTAAAACTCTGGGAAATATCTATGACGCTTGTGGTTGGGTTTCAAAGAAAACCACAAACATATATATCTGAAATGTGCCTGAAATCATGAGTTGAAGTATGCTGAGTGGGCTTGTAGAACTAGCGATTGGGTGGAAGCAGTAGAAAATAGACTGTTTTAAGACTTTGTTTTGAATGGAATATACCACTGCTTCTTAAAAAAAAAAAAAGTGAATAATGCATTGTTCCCATTTGCAAAAGAAAGTAACTTAGATGGACTTTGCAGGCCTAGCAAAAAGGTAGGGAACCTGTAATAGGCAAGTGTGGAGAGTACACTGGTTTTGAGAGTATGAAGCAGATGCACATAACATTGATGGATGGGGGAAAAGCTTCTCCAGGTGAAAAGGATTCAATACACTGAGACAAAATATGAGGAAATGAGCAAAATCAAGTAAATGGGGAAAAATTATCTCAGCAGTGTCCTGTGCTAAATCAAAATAAATCTAATAAATTGTAGTGGAGAAAAAGACCTAAATTTTGTTCCTAAAGAACATATATGTATTTTTTGTACATGAGGAAAAATTACTGTTTCTACCTTAAAACAGAAGAGACAGATGAACCTTCTGCTCCAGAAAAATTGAAAGGAGACTATTGATATCAAATCTGAATCTAAGGTGCTTCTTGCTGTTAACAGTGTTTCACGTTCACCTTTTATGATGAAAATACATGTACATCTTTTATGGACCATACCCAGGCGCCTGAGAAGCACACCAGCTAGAGTGGCCTGTGCTTGCAGACGTTTTGGTTTTTGTCTTATAGTGATAACTGTCACTTTATAAGAATAGTTGTTCTTCTGAAGTAGATTAGAAGTAGTAGTTACAAATTCCCTTTTTTTGCCTCCCATTTCTTTTGTATTTTACAACTGCCTGTTTGTTGGATCAGAGAGACAATTAAGTAATTTCAGATTAATTGGTCTTATAACTGAAATTGCATTCCTAGGATTCTGAAATTGCAGGAACTATTCATGCAAAAAATGCCTTTGTGTTAATTCTAAATACGACTATAAATATGACAACTTATCTGTTCTATGACTGCAGCATTTAAATAACTCATCTGTCTTCAACATGATTAATTATTTTAAAAATCTATGATGAGATTGATTGTGAAATGTGAGTAAAACATTTTTCTTCTAATGTTTCCCAATGCATAATATAGAATTTGATTGAGATGTTGCTATCCAGCTGCCTTTTTTGTGTGTGTGTGTGTGTTGAGGAAAATATATCCGCTTCGTACACTTGTTTAATTAACAGTAGGCATCGGTAATTGATCTACTGAAGGTTTATACTGTAACACAGACAAAAAAGATTAGTAGTTGAGTTTGTTTTTTTTGTTTGTTTGTTTATTTTTTTTCGTTTAAGCCAAATGTTGCAACCAAATTCCAGTGTTCCTTACCATAGAACTTAAACTGGTAATTTCATGCATCTTTGTCTTTCTGTTGATATTTCTCAAGACCCAGATTGTGATAGTATGACATAATGGATGTCACTTTGTTTTGCAGTGTAAGGCTATAATTTTTTTTCTGACATATTGGAGCTTGGAAAACGGAGGAAAGTTTTCATGTAAACAAATGTCACTTGCTTTTCCCCCCAAGTCCCATCTTTTTCCAGAATTTTTTTGTAGCATCTGTATTTTTATTTTGAAAAGCCTAGAAGGCATGAGTAATTCCATAGATATCATTGCTTTGCTGTAGATTGACATGCATATGGAAACGTTAGTTCATAGAGTATTAACTTATTGGGTGTGGCTTTCTTACAACGTCTTCTAGTTCATTTGTCTGTTGTTCATGAGATTGGTTCAAATTTAAACTAAATTCTTTATTCAATGGTTTATAGTTGGAAAATTTCCAGGCATTTCTTTGGGGTAGAATCATCCATTTTATTAAAAACAAACTAGATGACAGTTTCCAAGCTTGGGAAAAATAATTTAATTTCCTTTAAAGTTTCAAGCTATTTCTTAGGATTTAGGATCTGGTGACTTTGAGTGTTTTCAGCTTCCTTTAATTTTACTTTTTGTTCCATTTTTTTTGTAGGTGGTCTGCCCTTTCCACTTTCCTGGTTGCACAGTGGGACTTCTCCCACTCTGCTGCTGATGTCCCAGATGGATTCCTTGGGGGAGGAGCAGCCTCAGCAGTTCTGAGGGTGAGTAAAGGGCATTGGGAAAGAGGCTGGGACAGTAGTGCCTCTCCTCCTCTTCTGTTCTTCTCAGGAAGCACATGAATTCCCTTCAAGCTCCAACAGTATGGTGTGCAACAACGTTTGTATTTCAGTCCAGTTTACAGGTGCAGTAGTGGTCCTTTGACATACATTTTCATCTGGAAAAAAAATGAATTAGCCCCCCCAGTTATGTGGCTATCAGACCTTTCTGCATCTCCTGGTTAATCCATTAACTGCTTTCTTGTCCTTGCACTGAGAAAGAAGCTACCATTCTCATGTGTCTTTCAGTCTCTGTGGTTCCATCCTTCCATCTTGGTCATAGACCTAAAAGACTGTCGTAGATTATAGCTTGAATGTATTCTTGTACTTACTTTGTTTCCTCTTTTTTCGGAGAATCTGTCTCAGATGACATTCAGCTTTGTTAGTAGAAACTGGTGGAAAGCTACAGCAGGACTGCTACTTAAGAGTGGGAGAGGGAAGAACAAACAAAACCTTAGTTTTTTTTCTTAAAAATAAATAAATAAGATCTTTTACAGTATGTAGGACTCCCATAACTTGAATGTTTTTGGAGGTGAAGTTAGTCAAAAGAAAATCACAGGTTGGAAACACTACATTTAGGTCTAACCTTTTTAAGCCCAGTTTCTGTGTGATTCTTATCTTTCTGAAGAAATTCAACATGGTAATTAATCATTGGTCATCAAGCTTTTCTTGTTGGTTGAAACTTTTCAAATAAACAATTTTTCTCTTTCCTAAAATGGTGATATTGAATCTCACTGTTACAACAGGTGTTATTTGGCTTGTTAATAACACCATTTAGGATTTACGTAACACCATCTTTAAAAGAGATCAATGCAGTTCAAAATCTGTGTAGTAGTGGCTAGTACTAAATGAGAGTCTGAGAGAGTCATACACTCATGATTTAGCAACAGTAATCTTGTTACTGTTAAAACCATCAGTGAGTCCTTAAGTTTGTGGAGACGGCATGCCCATGTGTCTAGCACCAGTGGTAATTTGTGGAGACTGAAAAGATGACTAAATGAAAGTCTGCAGAAAGTGGTGGTAAAAGGACCATTACTGTTCCAATAGAACAAGTGAAGGCTTCTGAAGTAAACATATTTTGAGGTGGAGAATGCTTCCAGGGTTTCTGCATGTTATAAGTATTTTGTTTTGCTTTATACAAAGATTTAGTCTCCTAGTATTCTTAGGAGTAGTTTACTTATTAAAATCTGCACTTCTGCATGATCAGATATTACTCAGTTGTTGGGAACATGATAATATTGCACGTTACAGATAAGTCTGTGGTTGGTTTAACTAGACTTATGAATTCTTTCTCAGGGCAATGCAGGTAAAGTTATGTTAAATTCAGATTAAAAACAAATGTCATTGTTTACAAATATTAGCTTTATGGTAATTTGGAGTTTTTCTTACATCAAGTTTTAATTCCTTTGAAAAGTTTTGAAATTTATTCCTCAATTTGTTGAAGCTTCTTGTGCCTGATGTTTCTTCCTCACTATCTCTATCCTGACCTTCTGTTACATTACATCTTATTATAATTTACTTTAGCTTTGGACTTAGTTTTGACATGAAAAATCCTTTAAGAGAAGTGTGTTGAACAAGTGCTGTTTAGACTGCTGTATCATCCATTGTTAAATATATAGCTGTCATGTTAATATTTTAGAAAATACAGTAGGTTAAAAAAATGGTTTCTGATAACATCTAAAGTCGTAAATCATAACAGATACTGGAGATATCAGTAAAGGATATCTTGAGATATAAGAGATGCTTGTGTCTTTCTTTTTAATGTTTTGTTTTTTAATAATTTCTGCAGATAGCAGTAGCATTGTTTTGGTTTAACAGTAACTGATGTTATTTTCTGAGTGGTGACGCTCTCCCTCTGATTAATATTTCAACATTTTTGTGCTTGTTGTATGTGTCTTTTGAGCAAGAAATTAAATGTTATCTGTATTCAAGTGATTTTTTGTCATCCTTTTCATCAGTTGTTTTGTTGATGTTTACAACTTGTTCCTCTCTGTACTTGGTCTATTATTAAGGCAGAGACCTTTCGTTAATTTAACAATAGATACCAGCTGAAAGTAGATGCATTTAGATGTAGCATCTAAGTCTGTTTTGTAGATCTTAAGCATTGCATGATACCTACCAAATCAGTTAAAGGAAACCCTGATAATCAGGTATACATTACTATTGATTCTGGGTAGCTGAATTAAACATTAGATGGACGCAAGATTTGAAGGGAAAAATGCCTGTCTGCTATAACTGACACAATCAATGCACAAATACCACATCCACATAATTTAGCTATTTCATGTCCAGGAAAGAAGCCCTCTCCAGCTTAATTGTACAATGTGAAGATTTTTTGGAATGGCACTACGTAGTTTTGTCCCTTTACTCTGCAGTAAAATCTTTGCAGCATGAAGCTAAATATTACACATTTCTCACAAATATATCTTGAAAATGTTTTTCACTGTCACTTTCACTCACAGTCTGGAGACTGAACATGTTGTTTGAGTTACCTTTTATGCAGAAGTTTTTGAGCGCAGCGGGATGCTTGCAGCCTATGTGTGACAAGTGGGATGAGATGCATAAATTTGCGTGGCAGTCTGCCGTGTGTGCTTCACCTGCTGTGACAGCAGCCAGCCCTGTTGCAGGGAATGATAGCAGACAGGTAGCCAAAGCCCTCTTGGCTTGTTGAGATGCCGCTGAGGACCAGGATGTTGACTATGTCAAGCTTGAGATTGTTGGGGTTCATAAGAGAGCAACTGGTCGTGCCAGGTTGCTGTCCCCATTGTACTGTCCCCTGCTGTGGTCTGTCCCTGTTCTCTGTCCAAGATCTGCACTGGAGTGTTCACTCTTTTCTGTGTACATTTTATAGCATTAAGCGAGGATTTTTGTTTGGACTGCACCAGTGAATAAACCTGTTTACACAGCATGATATTCCTTCTTGACTTTATCCCTTTCCCCACCATGTTAGCCTTCTCCCAAGCTAAGTTGTTGCATTTCTGATGGTAAATTTTGTTGGTAGCACCAATTTTGTGGTTGATTCTAACTGCGTGCAGAGTTTTAACAGTCTCTTCAATTACTCAATAAAATAGTGTCCTGGGCTCTTTACTGTTCCAGTAACTTTTGCATGTTTTGTAACAGCACCATACAAAATAGCAAAACTTGGTTTGGATTATTTTCCTCCTGTACGTCCTTCTATGGACAAAAGCGGAGGAGTCCATTGTATGCTTTGTCCCCATGAGTAATGCTTAATACACACAGTGCACCTTTAGCAGGAGTGCCAAAATGTGGTGGGTCTGGGAGCTGGGCTGGCCTCAGCCCCTTTGCCATTTTATTGTGCTCAAGGTTAGCTGCTGCCAACCTGTTCCTCAGCACCGGGTGCTCTGGTGGTTTTATCAACGCATTGCCTGGTTTTCGTCGTCGTCAGGGATGATATCTGGTGCTTCAGTGAACTTAGCCGTCTCCTTAAAATGACAATGCTTTTACTACTCTATCTTGATTTCATGTAACTTCCATGGTGCCATTGACCCTGTTAGGAGATAAAGCACCATTAACAAGGAGAGTGGATGTGGTAACTGCAAACATTGCTTGCTCTGCAGTATTTCTTGTTTGAAGATCTGGATTGTCCTTAGTCTTTGCCGTTTTATAGTTGTGTCATTCCTCATTGTGTATCAAAGCTAACTCTTCATAAATTCATTTTACATCTGAGTAACTTGTCTGTCTTCAGACAAAAATAGAACTTCCACCTGTCCTTGTTTATTTACTTGTTGCTTGCTTCAGCAATACCCCTTGAAAGACTCTCCCTTGACAGAGGTGTTCTTGTCTACCTCTTTACATACAATGCAATAACAAACACCTTTTCCTTTGAGCACAATAATGCTTTCTAGATGAGTCTGCACGTGTGCTTCTTTCTCATTCACATTTGTGGTGATACAGAGTTAGAATGACATTGAAGGCCTGGACAGCTTTGATTACTCTACAAATATATACATCACAGTGATTTCTTTATTTTTTGAAGGTAAAGGTCTCTTAGCTCTTTCTTTACATTGTTTCCAGATTGTTTTATGCTTGTGATTTAGTACTGACAATAATAAACAGTACTAAGATCCTCCAACAACTTTTATAAATATTTTCAGTAGTAGAAGATACACAAATAATATAGTAGCAAATTAAGTGATTGTTTTAGTGAGTGGATTTTCCAGGATGACACAATGTTAAAATAATAATAATAAACTAAACTATGCATATACACCTGTCAGACTAAAATTTCACCATCTGATGTAGCACTGGTTCATAACCCTGATGTATCAGCTGCTTCCTGAAAGCCTTTGTATTATAATGGGAAGTTCAGGGACATAATAGGCTGCAGAATGCAGGATTTGTTTGTGTTTGAGAGGGCAGGGGAAAGTTCTTTCAGAATAAGCAGTGTAGTGTTTTGTTTTGGTCTCTTAGTTTATTTATATTTGAAATCTTCTTCCTACTATGTAAATTCTTAAAGAAAACAAATAGTGCTTTATTTCTGCATTGTTTCAAGAGTACAACTGTGTGTGTCATCTCAACTGTTATGCATAATTCTCGTGGTCTGAAATACGTGGAACAAAACTATGCTTTCTGATGAGAAAAAATGCACTTTGTTATAACAGATTTCTTCCAAAGTTTGTCTACCAGTTTTAAAATGTAGCAATTAAATCTTTCCCTTTAATCAGTGATATTTTAACTCTATTGTAATGTTAAGAAAGACTCCTTTAAGTGGAATGACTCTGCTGTGTAGTGACTATGAAGGGACTAAATAAACTTGTTTTGAGCTATTGATATTTTCCAGTTGTCTGAACCTCCTGTTTGTGTAAATGGTGTGACAGTTTTGCTCATTAACATTTGTATGAAAATAAAGTTTAACTATTTCTTTACTTTCTCCCAGATTGAATTATAGAGTAGGGTGCCAAGCATTCTTTGCATGTCTTTTATTACAGCTTGAAATACTAAATATTTGTCCAACTGATTATCTTTGAAAATTTATATTTCTACTTAGAGGATCCTTGCTAGAATGCGACTACCTGTATGTACCCATGTCATAGGCACTCTGTGGGCTAGCTTATGCTGTTGGAGAGGTAAACTCCTTATAATTAACCTGCCTTTACCT